ATACTCTTCACTTCACTATGATGGCGAAATATTGCGCAATCAAAACAACAGTCGGTCCCTTTAAATCAGGTTTTGTTTATTATTGCAGCCCGGAGGACCGGGCTGCTCTATACATATAAGTTTAAATGTCGGTGTATGGGGATTGGAGTGGGAGTAGTTATAAAGAATTAAAGGTTTTCTAAACATTGAAAAGATTGTTAATCAGAATGTTTTTTTCCGTTTATAAATTATCGGGAGGCCCGGGTTCGATTCTCGATCGCGGCGCCGCGTCATACCTAAGACGTAAACAAAGGTTGTGACTGTTCCTTCGCCAAGCGCTCGGCACTAGAAGTGAAAGTCACGGGTCTTTCGGATATGACCTTAAAAACGTAGGTCCCGTGTCACGGTAGGCGTTGGCACGATAAAGAACCCTCACTGCTCAATGGCCCTGAGTGCCGAGTATAGGTCTAAATTTGAAGCCCTTCACCGGCATCGGTGACGTCTCCATATGAGTGAAAAATTCTCAAGAGGGTCGTTAAACAATATACAATCAATCAATCAATCCGTTTATAAATTACGAGATACATAATATATTTACTTCCATAAAGCGAATCTGTAAAAATATATATGTTTTTCATACTTAATATCATTTACTATCGACAAAATGACAGGTCCCTTTTTTTAGAACATCGAATTTTACTTCTCGGATAAAAACGAACTCTGCACAATTCATGTTTTATATATTCTAAAATTGAAAATTTATACATTTTATATATAGGTGATGCATGTGTCTAACTTCAATTTATATTTAATGCAGCCAACATTTACTTGAGGAATAGATCAAGTTTAAAATGGAATCGTTTTTGATTGATTTTTATCCGACTACAAGTTTTCAAAATATTCGCGACTATCGTTTCCATCAATTTCACGCATGCCTTTTCACACATATCAAGCGGTTTAATGATCAAGACTCATTTTCATTGTTTACTTTATATATTTCCCGGGCGACAATTGATGGTTACATCAATGTGTTCTTGTTTTAGAATTGATGAAGCTTTTTAGTAGAATAATGGTATATGTGGACTTCGCTATTTGAAATACTTTGATTTACCTATTTAATCTCTTTTTTTCCCCAGTAAAGATAAAAGTTACACCATGTACATGTAGACATGGGCATATTTGTTGTATAATTTTCAGTTGAGTTTCCTAATAGTAAAGCATAACAAATGCTTTTTTTTCAAATTGTGTCTCCTGATTATTTAATATTACAATGTATACAATTATTGCTGATTTTTGAGGTCAATACAATGATTTAGCCATCTGAGGAGTACAATATTCAGCGAGACCGAAGGGCGAGGTGAATATATCCTTCGAAGATGGCTAAATCATTGTATTGACCGAAAAAACAGCAATAATTGTGTTATTATATGATTCACTGATAAAATGATACATCTTATTAATAGTACTTGTTTGCATTTACATGTATATTATGTATATTATACCCGAACTATTAGAATCATGCTAATAACATACCTTTCTGAAAATCAAAATGAAAGGCTATCGGATGCATTAACGGAGGTCAATCAATATGCCAGACTTCTAGAAAATTTAACAAGTCAAGAAAATGTTACTTCATGTCTTTAGAACCTGTACCGCCAAACAGGGAGCGTAAAGATTAGACCAGGGTTTGGTTCTAAACGTAAAACAACAGCGTGTAATATTACGACCATGAACCGGTGCTGCTTTCCCTACGCAACAGATTCAAAACAGCAGCAAGATTAAATTCTTAGTTCAGGGTGGCAAGATGAATAAGAATTGTAGACCGTACAGACAGAAACAAACTTAAAGCAGCTGGCTTAAAGTCACGTCGTCCTGTTGTAGGAGTGAGAATGACTGCTGAACACAGGCTTTTCAGAAGAGAATGGGCTACACAACATCAAGCAAGGCAATTCCGACTTTGGCGCTACACCATGTTCAGCGATGAATTTTGGTTCAATTTGGACTTAGCTTTTTGAGATGCCTCTCTGAACGTTATCATCAGTGTACCATCAAACAACATGATTCCAATTATGGTGGATCGATGATGGTTCGGGGCGGCAAAATCTACGACCACAGAAATGATCTTGTTTGACTTGATGTATGGGTGACTGCTTTCCGTTTCCGGGATAAAGTATTGCGGCCTGTTGTTCTTCCTTTTCGCCGTAAAGTCGGCATACATTTTTAGTTTCATTATGACAATGCTCGACCCCAAATGTCTCATGTCAGCAGGGATTTTTTGACGCAGAACAACATCAGGCTGTTGCGATGGCCATCCAAAAGTCTAGTCCTTAACCCCATCGAACACCTCTGGTATATTCTTGGACGTCTGGTGAGGGATCGTGATGCCTCACCCAAGGCAGTTAATGCCATGTTCAAGGCTCTTCAGGAAGAGTGGCGCGCAATTCCTCGAGCTGAGATACAAAAGTTGATACAGAGTGTTTCACGACGGTGTGAGAAAGTCATCAAAAAGCAGGGAAGACACACCAGATCCTAAAATTTTACTTGTGAAACACATATTTAGTGAAACATACTTGATCCAAATCGACTTACAAGAAAGCAAATTTTTACCATGAAATATATGTGTTCCCTTATTAATTTCTATCAGTATATTTGGATATATCAGTTTAAAAAAAATAAGACACGTTTATTTAACACTATCTTTTTGAAACTATATGTGCAGATTGAAACATGGTGTAAAGTTTATGACACTCTACCCATCAGTACAGCTCAAGTTTGCAGTGAATTGATATCATTTTCAATTATGACGTCATGCATTTGTAGTTCAGAGAAGAGCATGCACAGATTACACTGCAATATTCTCTGGGAAGCCTTATCGTACCTGCAAATAAGTGATATCTCAAATTGAAATTGGGTAGGAGAAATCACTTATTCAAAAGGGATGACTTATTCGAACAGGTGATATCAACTATTTAGCACAAATAAGTGATTTCTCCTTTTCAAAAAGTGATATCACCAAGTCATTTCCAAGAAGCAATATCACCAATTCGAAAAGGTAATGTCTCTCAACTTACCCGTAAAGCTATTTTAATTTATAATAAAAAAACTTGTAACATAAGTTTTTGATGTGTACACTGCATCTATTTTGTTTATATTATATTACTTTTCACGACAGTTTTATGTGATTAGAGCCCTTACATATCTATTATCTCATGAAATGTTCCTGGTGTCAAACGGCAACAGTCTAAGTGGGCATTTGGATGATGAATTTTAGTTCTTTGAATACATTTAGTTCATTAATAAAAGTCAAACCGGTATATGCACACTAATCATACTATACTAATCAAATATATTTTATACGTTCCTCCGATTATTGGTTTTTAAAACTGCCAACATACAGAGCTTAACATTTCTAAAAAAAAAAGTACAGTTAAATGTATGGTTGAATGGCTAACGGCACATTGAGTTTTAGTTCTAATATGGAATAAAATAATTTAATAAGAATATACAAATAATTGTACTGTACATCTGTGACACGCTCTTGCGGTGAAAAACACAAAGAAGAAATTGATATTTAAAACATCTGTCAAACATGAAGTGTTCAATATCGAACAAGGAAGTTCATTTCACAACAAATTCATTTAGAGTTAAAGCCTCTGTTCCCAATATTTATCCTACTAATCATATTAGAATGTTAAATGGGTTTTACCTGATACTTTGAATAGATTTACCTAGCACGATTGTTGAGGGAAAAATAATTGAAATAAATTTTACATATGCTCTATTTTAAAACATTATTCATAAATTTATGTCTGCATGTATGTTCTCATTCGAGCTACGCATTAGTATTAAAAAATTACATAATTTCAGTACAGTATATATAAGGTATTTGAAAACTTGAAAATCGACCTCCCTGCACATGAAATAAAACTTTTAATAAAAGTACACAATTCTATTATATTTAATTTTATTTCTTTTTCACATTTTGAAAATAATATAGTTTAAAGTAATTTTAACATGTTTGGCGTTTGAGAACTCTACTCTTCCTACCGTTTGGATGCTACAAGTAGACTAAAATACTGTAAAGAGGGTTATTTTCGCCCTTTCACACTTCGCTTCACATTTTTCCGCATAAAATTTGCCAAGTCCCAGTCCTGTTTTAGAACTTACGTTGTGTGCTTTGATTTTGCCTTATTTTAAATTCGACAAGAGCGAAAGGACGGAAATAAAACGGTGGCGAAAATTTTCCTGCGTACAGTACTATACAAATTGTTTTGTCGGTTTTATTCGCCAAACAAATAACCCATGTCCTTTCTTTACAACCCTAGCCTTTGATACTAAGACTTCAGATTTTGAAAATACTTGTAGTGAGTTTGTATGGCTGTGGGGTTAAGGCCACTATTTTTTTTAACTTTGACCATTACTTAAGGTCAGATCAATCTCTTTACTAAATATGCTCAATGCAATCACATGAAAACATTTTTACATTAGAATTTTGAACTTGTTTAATAGAAAAGACATTTACACAGGATTTAATGAAACAATATGTTGATCTCGACTCCTTTCTTTATTCAATGTCAAATTATTACTTTAGAACTCTTTGCCATTAAAAGCGTAACCTTAAACATGGAGGACTTTTATACATGTTTTACACAATGGTGACGTTTTCCCAAAGATGATTAGGCTATCGCTACTGCATAGAATGCAAGAAGAGTTGTAAACAACAAAGGTTCTTTGTATAAAACCTTCTGAAAATTGTGAAAGCCTTTTTGCACATCAACAGGATACCATCAATTATGTTAATGAAAATGATTATGCTACTGCAACCAATGTCTTAATGCATTTAACTATCAAGTTCTAAAAAAAAACAAATTTAACTTTGCCGTGTCAAACCATCTGGAATTATCGAAGACTATCAGACTTTGGCTTGAGCATCGGACTTTGGGTTGACCATCGGACTCTGGAGTAAATTGCACTTTGGAGTCCATATGTAGAATTCAAGGAAACACATGAAAACTAAGTACCATATGTACCACTACTTGGAGGAGTATGATGCCTAGGATGTCCAATAGATGGATTCTTCTCAATTCGGTGTATTAAAACCTGAAAAAAATATGCGCCTTTCATCCTTCATATTGATTGTCATTGGTTTACATGTGGTTAGTGTCTGAAGTGAGCGTTAGTTTATTTATTTATTTATTTTTTTTTTGATTTATTTATACACATTTTATCCATGGATAGTTTAGAAATACAGTATTACAGCAAACGTACGTAATTTTTGTTATAGAACACGTACATTCTGATACATATTGCCTTTCGGCTCTACGAGGGTGTCAAGTAGCATTATTTCCGAGTGCAGTGAGGTGTATCCCAAATCTAAATAGCTAAAAAAGAATGACCCGTGTGACGTAAACATATCTTCAGTAAGTCGTGTATGAAGCACAGCTCTACCTGCAGAAATAATTCTTGAAAGCTCGTTTGTGACAACCAAAAAAATATTATATAGTAGGGTTATTATTACACTCAAATAAAATCAATTGGGCTGGGTACATGATACCCCCTTCAGTCTCAGGATCATTACAGAGAATGACCTTCGTCCTGTGCATCCAAAAGGATGTTTTGAGGAGGGTCCATTCTATTAAAAATCGCCTTTCCCCTATATTAGGGTAATATATATATGTAGAATATTTAAGTTGTAGGTCAAAAACGAATAAAACACATTTTATAAAATAATCAGTAAGAAGACCACTTCATCAGGATTTGATGAAAAATAAAAAAAAAGTCTGATAAGTTTATAGATAATGTAACGTGATAAGGCTCATTACATATAGAATGACCCTCATCCTTACATATTAAAGGATGCTTAGAGGAGGGTCCAATACTTTTTAAAGCGTCAATATTCGTAATATTTTCTTATTATAAATCGCTGAAATTACGTACACTTCAATATTGCAAACATTGTCGCCTTTTTGCACAATTTTCAAAACGCAACAAATCATATACAAAAATGTTGCATTCGATGAACAATAGGTCTGTTTTTGTTAATATTAAGCTTTTTAAAAGATTCTAAAACTTGTTATTCAGATGTGCTTCTTTCTTTCCATCGAGTTCCATCTTATCCCAAAAATTGAATTTAAATTGCATTAAATTTACAATATCATTTGTTTTTCTTATAATTATTGCTTTGTCAGTTCTTAAAAAGTTGTTTTTGTACTTCAGTCTTAAAGCTGAACACTACTCGTAAAAAGGCATACGCCATTTTCGATAGCATTATCTACGATATCTCAATACTAGGGTATACTCGTCGCATTCGTTACACCTGACTGCTTTATTTTCAGTGGTATCGGCGTGGAATGGCAACCCGTGTTTGTGCTGATTATCTTCCAATACCTTTGTTCATATTTTATTGCAATTACGTTTATCTGTGTTGCTTGTATACTGCACTGACTTATACAACTATAAATGTAAATCTATTTTGGTATTTAATTTTCCTGCATTAGACGAAGTATTGCGTTATTATTCTCGCTACCGAATTCTGTATAGAATACGTCCTTCTACACCGGTGTCGACTGATTACACTGAACAGTGACTAAGTTCTGCCCTATTTATAGGGGTCTGCAGAGTAGCGAGATTCGGGAACAAAAATGGCGGACAGAATCCTTTAACGAATCGCATTATGACCAAAATGTATCCCGGTATTAAGCTTTAAATGATTTTTTTAACTAGTATATCTAAGATATTCTCAGGCAGTGTTGAGAAAAAGGATTTGTTTTTAAATTATACCACACAATGTTTGCTAATTTCATTTTTTTACCCGGATGTAAATATTGATTGTATATTTTTTAACATCCCTCTCAAAATTTTTCACTCATATGGAATATGCCGGTAAAGAGGTTCAAATATACATGTATCAAATAAAAAGGAGAGGTTCCATGTATTTAGGACCTTTCAACATAACTGCTTTAAGATTTTCATTTTCAACTATCTTGACTCACCAGTAATGATATACTGGTATCCACCTGGACTGTAGTTGAAAGCAAGATCACCGAAAACGTTTTTGTTTTAGATATTCAATTTAGGCACTGGTATACTTGTTTGTAATTGATATTTGGAAGCAGAGCTTTCGGAATAGTTTAGTTAATTTGTATCTAACTCCTTGCAAATACAGCCTGACCAAAACAAACCAAAACAAGTATCATGTTTAACAAGATATATTTGCATTTGATTGTGCAAACGGGGCAGGTTGTAGCCATCATAAACGTAAAAAGTCGGACAAGGAATCACATAATCTAACAAAACTTGTTTGATTTATGCCATAATTCAAATAATTCTATTCTTAAATGCAGTAAAAGAGTAGCCTAGTCAAGTTATAAGTCGTATTTTTTGGGAGTTAATCTCTGGCCCAAATCTCATTGTCCGACTTATAGGCGAGTTATACAGAGAATGGTATTAACTGAGGTCAGTCTCTTTAATATATAAGCTTATTAAATTCAACCGACTGATAGGCGGACAGACTTATAGGCGAGTATATACGGTATGTTGAAATAGTTAAAAGTTATAGGAAAGAGCCATCATTGTAAAGAGACTGACTCTTGCATCCGAATAATGGACAGAAAAGTGTAGAGAAAAAAATGAATGGACAATTTGGTGAACTCATTTTCATAGAACATACATGTACGTACACCATTCAACAGCAGAGCTATGCCATTTAGGAATTTAGCAACGTTTTAGTAAGCTAAAAAGCAGGTATTCAGAATATTCTTTGTAATATAAATTGACATGACAGAATTTCATGGCGTAAATTTATTTCGATTTTTGCGTCCCAAATATTGTAAAAAAATTTTAACGATTCTTACACGTTCATTAACGCATAATTACCCCCATTACAATTCATATACTTATATTGCAAGTTTATATACTAATTTTCCTTCAAAAGAAATTGAAGATTACCTCTGAAATTTTTTTTTGAGAATTTTTGTACAATATTGAAGACTTTTCTTGAAAACAAAAATACAATTTCTTTAGAAGAGTTTTGGATAATAAATTATAATTATACCGTAATTATAGTCATAATCGAAAGTAAGACTTTGAAAAAAATTACTCTCGTAAAAGGAAGAGAAATGCCAAGTAAATGTTGCAGCACAATCTAATCTTAAATACACGTAATAGTTTAAATGTTATCAAGCTAAAATATGCATTTAAGTTTCTTTTATCTTAATTATGTGAAACAAATTAATAAAAAGTGGAGTTAAGTGAAATATATATAAATACTTACAACAATTAACAATTGTAACATTTTGACCAGGAGTTGGGAACGATGGCACTGAGATATCACGGGTGATTCTTCTTAGAATGTACTCTGTAATAAAAGATTGGAAAAATAAGATAGTAGCATTAAAAATAATAGAATATCACTTTAAAGCAAAATATGCGGGTATTTAAGGCAGCTCATAGATCAGAATTCGGCTTACACTTTTTTGTAACATGTAACACTGATTAATCGGAAAAGTAATAGATAAAACTTTTGCTATCATTATGCATTCTACAGACTTCGATAGGACTTATACTACAGGAATCACTACACCACTAAGTCATCATGTGACGTCTATAAATAGAACGCATGCTTTAAAGCGGCACAGTGAGTCAAAATCATATCTTAATTTTAAGATATATCTGTAGCATACAGAGAAAGACCTATGAAAATTATGAGTATATAGCGAAGATATGACAATTAAACTGCAAGAATTGACTGCACAATATAAGTGCCGGAAAAACAAAGGTTGTATCTACCGTTTCGTTGTTTCGTATATGTCAAGGTCACGCAACTCTTGTTTTTAGCTCAAACTTGTAAACAACATTCAACTGGAGTATGCAAAGGTGAGAAATATGTTGTAACAACTTTTTTAAAAGATTAACTCAAATCTTTTGGTCTTCTTACATTCATTCGTGGATACCTGAGACCATGGTTACTATGGAAACTTATTCAACACTTTTCTGCGCACGCGTACAATAGGGAGGAAGAAGTACAAGGGTATTTTGCAATATTTTTGTTCTGGGGCAGACAGAAATTATTTTTACTTTTATTTTTCCCCATTAAAATATAATTTTTTGATTCTGAAATCTGTAATTTTCTGAAACTGAATACTTTTAGTAATTGAACAAAATTTACAGAGGTCATGCGAAAATTCCACGTTTGTCAATTTTCCCCTTTGTGCGTCACTGTGCCGCTTTAATAAAAAGTGACAAGTTTAACTTTATCCCGGGGGAAATAAATTTACATTTGTAATAATACAAATGTAGATATGTAAAAAAATCTCTGTACCATAAAGATTGCTGCTAGAATCTTACCATCTCCTATCACAGAAAAAAATATTCAACACTTTTGGATGAAACTTTACTAAAATGTTTACATTTTGTACATAAGATTGATCTAATGCATAAATTCCAAAAACAGTAGAATAAGAAACAAAATTTAATTTTAAATTACGCAGCTTATTGTTGAACTTTTGCAACCTTTTTTGTCACGTACGACAGAGGAGAGGCTGATCGGGAAGTAAACACACTGTCTTTATCTATTTGAAAAAATGTAGAATTATAATTATTAGGACACCTCATTTATAAGCTTTATTCCTGCACGAATTACACATGATATTTTAAGACTTGCTAAATGCTTTTAAACTCTGATTTCTTGTGTTTGTTTACATGAATTCTCTACATGTTTTACTCACAGGCATCTGACGTTACATATTTTTCTTCATATCTTATTTTTCTTTTTAATTACCGTTCGCGGTAGCTCAGTCGGTAGAGTGCTCGCTTCGTGATCGGAAAGTTATGAGTTCGTATCTCTATAGCGACAGACCTAAGTCGCTAAAAAAAAAAATGGGTAGCAACTGTTCCTGCGCTATGCGCTCGGCACTTGCAGTGAAAGTTGCGGGTCCTTCGGATAGGACCTTAAAAATTTAGGTCCCGTTACAAGGCGTTTGCACGATAAAGATCCCTCACTGCTCAAATGGCCCTGAGTGTCGAGTAAAGGTCAAAATTTAAAGCCCTTCACCGTCATACGGTGACGTCTCCATGTGAGAGAAAAATTCTCGAAAGGGACGTTGAACAACATACATTCGATCAATCATTCTTCTTAATTTTGTTTTTTTTCCAAGATAGTCTCGATATAGCTTGATAATAGAACGAATTAAGTTATGTTCGCGCGTATGTGAGGGGAAGGGATAAAATTTAATTAATATTATTATATTCCGTCGTATTACTATATGTATCCTATGGATTGTTTTGGGAATCAACACTGACTGTAACTGGTTGTATTTTTAAAAATGAATCTTACAATTATATTGACCAATCAAATGAGGGCTTTCCCTAAGAATTTCAAGTCGAATGTAAACTTCTGGCCCCCCTTTAGCACTTTTTCGCACTCTTTAAGCAGTCGATCGAGTTTGATGAGGGATTTTTAATATTTGCAAGTGTGATGCGTCCTTTTTGTTGCACTGTCCGTGCGTTTAGGCCTCGAAAATATGGCCACAGGAATGATATACAGTACTTGGCCATAAGTGAGTCATAATTTTATTTTTCCACTCTATATTTCATTGAAAAACGCATTTTTCTAAAATATTATTGCAGTGTCATTTGTTGTTTCTTTTTAATGTCTAAAACACCATAAAATGCAGAATTTGATGTAGTTTCTTCACATTATTTCAAAATAGTTTTATCTTTATGCATTAACTTGAATTCACAGGTCAAGTGCAAAACAAAAATTTTAAGACTTCAATTTGTTAACAAATCATAGTAATTTGAGGTTAGAAAATTTTGTCTAGACAATATTTTATAATTTATTCTCAATGTTGTAAGTATAATTTTGTTTATCATTTAAGATAAGAAAATTTGAATAATTCTGCATGTTTCATTGAAAAAATCATGAAAATTGAGCTAAAATTGACTTCACAACAAGTTTTTATAAAAATAAGTATTTCAATGAAATATATAGCGTAAAAATGCAATTATGACTCACTTATGGCCAGGTACTGTAGTTGCAGGGAATTTATTTTCCTGAGTTTCAGACGAAATACAAGTTGATGTAACCAACTTCGAAAATTCAAGATGGCGGCCCGATGGATACCTTGTTTTATTATTAGTTAAGGGTATGTTTTTATTTGAAGAAACATAAGTAACGGATGTCTTTGGTTTAACTTTTACTCTGTTAATACTGATCAACTGTGACGCCACGGGTTTGGTGTTTAACCCCGTGATAAATACATCAATATATATACCATACGATTCTGTCTATATTAAGCTTCTACATGTTTCAATTCATTTCAACGGCCTCAAATCAATCTTTAAAAATAGATTGTAACAAAAATCGTTATCTCTAAAATTCATATTCTTGGCTTACTATGACGTCATATATATAGGCAAGTAGAATATTTGGCTTTGACCCTTACATACCCGCGTATACAGAGGGGGGCAGAAAGATATATTGTGACATCAACTCGTAATACTTACATGTACATTAAAGTGTCTGGACTGGTCACATTTGACATGATGTCAATGTTTTATCAATTTATTGCTTGTATTTGTAAGAGGTGTCTTTATTTGGCATTACGAGTTACCGTCTATTTCATTACGCTTTATTTGTCACTGAGTTTTAGGTCAGTCTATGTTGCTGTACTTTATATCTATACTGAAAGAAAAACGAAATCTACGGCAAATTATTGAGGTGAAATAATTTTCTTTTTTTTATATCTCAGTATTTCTATCTAACGTTTGAAATGATCTTTAACATGTTTAATGAAAATGTCACCAAATTCCATTTCATTTTTTTATTTGGAAATTAAGTGTCACTGGGACATATATGGACTACCCCCTATATGTGAGAAACTAGAATTCTGCTTTTCTTTTATGATTCATTCGTGCATCTCTCACACCCTTGGTTCTCCTATGCAAAATGTTCATCAGAGTTTTTATCCTTCAAATAGGGATATTATTACACCCTTTTAACGTGGCAACCCGTAGTTGAAAGTGACCAGCTTTAATATTCGCAGTACAGTTAAGGCAACACATAAAAAAAAAATATGGTAATGAAGTCATAATGAGGTCTGACGTCATGACAGTTGCTCCGCCCTGATTGATCCATATAAGGAAATGGTGCTCAAAATAACTATTTACCGATATTTGCAAGAATTTGTAATAAACAGCAATATCTTCATGTTTAAATAGAAAATAATTAGTGATTTTGTCGTATATAAAATAGCATGTCTTTGAATTAATTCTCTTTTTAATGTGTCGTTTGTCTGCATTCGGCTTCAGCCAAACGCTTGCACTCGGTGACACGGAATGTTGTTTACATCTAAAAACGTGGCGACATCAGCTGAGATTTGCAGTCAATCTTTAAAGAAAATAGGGATAAAATAAGAGACAAGGCATTGCTTCTCCCTTTTGCGAGAATATGAGGACATTATTTCGGAAAATAGCAGAAAACCGAGACAATTTGCACCAGCTCCGTAGATCCATCACTGCACCAGGCCAGGTATGTATACGCAAATGTACATGTGTAGATCAACAATATGTAGACATGCTTTTGTTAACATAAAAAAACCCAAGGGTGTTCATGTTCATTTAAATGTATTATGACAGTCAGTGAAAAACAGTAATGCAGTGTCTTGTATGTACCCCCCCCCCCATATTAAGTTGCACACTTTTTAGATTTATAAAAAATAATTGCATTGTATATGTACTGAGTTCCAGTCAACTAGCTCATTTTCTATGAGTCAATATGTGTAATAATGGAGGTGATCAGTAACACATATTTAAACTAAATTAAATGAGATATGTTTTCATTGTTTCAGTCAATGATTCACAAGTGACTAGGCCTAAACAAGCAATGATGTCTTTTGGCATACAAATATGCTACACAATTTAAAAAATATATCAGTATCATTGTGTTGAAAATATAGAAGCCCCACATCAGATCTATGGTTGTAATTTTGTAGAATTTCTAAATTAAAGAAAAAATATTCATTTTTTGTTTAGATAACATGTACGTTAAAATATTTATATAATACTTTTATCATTGTAGCTGTCAAGAGTTTCAGGCTTAAAGAATGAATAAATAAAAAATGCATCATTTCTCCACAGGGTATGTATACTTCTAATGCATTTCACATTATTAAAGTTTGCAAGTGCTTTACATTTTTTTTTTATTTTGGTAAAGGAGAAACTCAGATTTTTTTTTTTTAGAAAATATTCTCTCAATAACTATTGTAAATGTCAGTGGTTTCACTTTCCCAGAGAAATTTTGTAACACTTTTTTTTCCATTTACATGTGTATGAATAACAGAAATTCACTACAGTATACAATGTAGCATAATTTGTTTTGTCAAGTGTAATTCCATTTTATTCTACAATGTATATTTAGTAATCTCATAGCATATAACTGCATATATATTGTGTTGTAGGCCTAGCTATTTCCAAACGTTGGGCAAATGGATTCATTCAGGCAGCAAGTTAATCCATCATTTAAGGAAATGGTATGCTCAATATTAGCTATAAACCATACGAAGTTTTGATAATAAAACTAACAGAAAAATTGAAAACATGTATATGCATTCTATGTTAAATGTTTCAATGCAATTTTGGTATTTCCTGATTTTCTCATATTTTCAGAATTCATTTTATCCACAAGAACATGAAGTGATGGAAATAATTTGCACCTGCTCAGCATTCCTACAGTCTGTCTTTGGATTTGAAAAGAAATGTTTATTAAATAAATTTTCTAGATAAATAATAATTTGACTTTTTCATATATTTACTGCACAGGTGTTGAAAAGGCCATTAAGATTTGAAAATTTGGCATACTATTTTGTGTAGAGGGTACCAATGTCCATCAAAATCTTATTTCCAGTCTGTGCATTGTGTTAATTTATTTTTCAATAATATTACCAAAAAGAGGAGACTAGAGATCCCTATAATTGATTAAAAATAGGATAGGGGACCACCATTTGATTCTGAGAGAAGGGGGGGGGGGGGCGGGGCAGGCGAGTTTTTCCAAGTCAGATTTTTTTTTCATTTCCATGTCAATGCAGGACATAATTTAATGTTTATTTCTGATTAATAAGATGAAGGACAGATAATTTATTTATTTTCCTCTTCATTGAAAAGTCTACCATGCAAAAAACAAAATTGTAAAAAACTCTGATTCGAGGAAGGGGGAGATCACTGATCTGCAAGTATTTATTTGTAAAATCTGACAGCCCCTCACCCTCAAAATAAAATGGCTGTCAGTTTGCAAAATACAGGAGTTTACCACAGTCCTTTATAATTAGTTCCTAAAACTTATAACAGTTACTTAGTTTATGTCCCTTAATTAACAATAAGCGGTCTGATTGAAAGCCATCGTACAAAATCGTAGAACATGATCTTGTATGCAGAAAGAAAAAATATATTAACACAAGTGTGTGTACCATAGGCGTCGGAAGCAAAATGAAAGGAGGGATAATCGAAAAGGGGGGGGGGGGCTAAACCAAAAGAAAAAGGTAAATTCCAATGCCTACATTATGTTTATAATTTGCAAATAAGCAGGGAGGCTCAGCCCTCCCCCCCCCACCGGTTCCGACGCCTAACGTTATGCGTACAGGAGTGAAAGAGGGGAATAGATATATAATTAATTATTAATGAAGGCTATAATTTAATTAACCATTTGTGTTCTACATAAATATATCGGCAATATTTAGACCTATTTGTGTGTAATATTACATATATCTACACATCTTTGAGGAATTGCGAAAGGTTTGAAAGACATTTAATGTACACAATGTATGAAGAACGAATCCACAGAAAAGAAAGAGATATCAAGGATTTTTTTTATGCATAGCGTTTGATTTAGTAAAAAAAAAGAGTCCAGTCCTGTCCGCATGTATATTTATTTAAAATTTACGAGGTAAACAAACTGTATCAAGTACTCAAGAGTTATCTCCCATGCTGGGTCAATGATGCGTTTGAAAACTATAATTAGATTGACTCTTCCAAGATTTCAATTTTTAATCAAAAAGTGCAAGGGCAAGGCGACAATCTAAAAAGTAGGTTTTTATTTTAAATTATTTATTTTATTGTATATTTTTCAAAAAGTGATGCTTATTTCTTTGTAATCGTTTAGTTGATTTATAATTCACGATGAAATTAGGAAAATATCCTATTTTTCATACAATACTGTCTGTTTTAGCTGAATAACTTAATTATATCGGAAAACTAACTGAATGAGCATCACTTTTGAGAAAGTATAGATGCATAGAGACAATGCAACATAAAACATTGTGCAGTTAATTTTTTGTTTGCCTTGCCCTTGCACTTTTTGGTTAAATTTGACATCTCGTTTTTTGACCAAAAATCGGAGCCCCCGTAACGTCAGGGGGTGACATGATGTCAAAAAATACCGATGTGAAAAGCGATGGACATACTCTTCAAGATAACAAATAACTATTTTAACTAGAGTGTCTTGCTAAAAATTAAAACTGGTAAACATTATATGTATCGGATTCCGTGAGTTTTTATAGAAAATGTTGCCTTAACTGTACTGCGTTTCGAACCCATCAAAACTATGTTCAACATATACCAAATAACTAAAAGATAAAGTAAAAAGAGACCTATCGAGTGGGTTAATGTGACAGTTTGAAAGAAAGTCTCAACTTACAATCAACTTACCTCAACTTACATGCCTGCATTAATTTGGGGTAAACACGTCGAAAAAAAAATAGGCAAATGACGCCCGCATGTGCCAGGTATAGGCACACTAAAATAAAGTTGACCTGCTCAAAAACCCAAATTTCGAAAGGGGTTTCTTTTGGTTTTAGAGTATATGAAATGATTCTGATAAATTACTTCATTAAAACCAGTTTTGTGGTAGTGAGGTGACTTTAAACAAGTGGCAAGATGAATAACATAATCTTTATATGACTCTGTTAGGTACCAATGTTACCGTCAAGGTTGGTTAAAACCAACCCCTGTCCTCATTGACGACGGGGAAAGACGTTCTATGGATGGAGAGTTACAAGAAACTGCACAGCAATCTGTTGCTGCCTTTGTCAGTACTAAGGCGCTGTACCAAGATTGCAAGAAATTTACCGCGGTATATCGTTCGTAAATACTGAAAAAAGGAGTGTGTATACCTTATAAGTATATTTAATTAAATGCAAATTCAAATGGTTAAACAAGAAGTGCTGACAAACTTATCGTCATTAATTTGCACGTGGTTTTGCTTCATTACTACCTTATCTATGTGATCATGACTTCATTAATTTTTTAAGGTGATAGTAATTTTGCACACTGATTTAGTGCACAGTACCAAAATTTCTCAACTGACCGAATTTTTGTTATTTTTGGACATGCTGTCAAAAAGAAAAATGCAAACCGTGTTACCCTGTGTTTTTCTTTTTAGTATATGTACTAAATACTTTCCAAGGTTAATAGTTCCCTTATATGATAATTAAATATTAAAATTATCTACACAAGTAGTGTGCATGGAATAAAGACTTAATACAGAGGTATTAAACTAACGATGACAAACTTCTGCCAAAGACTATCCTAAACCAGAAAACATTGTGTGAATTATTTTATCTCTATATAGTTGCGCTTCATTACATTTAGACATTATTATTTAAAGGTTTTTTTTTGGAAATTGTATAATATTATGATAATTTTTTCTTCTCCTGTGGTCTTATTTTTTCCTATTCCACGTAAGATAGTTAGGTGGTACAGTGGTGTGTTTACTGGAAGGTAAGTATGGTGATTGCGTGTTCGAGTCTCACATCTTCAATTTGTGATTTTTAAATAAGTTTTCTTTTTGTATATTTCTCGTTCTTTAATTTTTGTATAATGTGCTCTTAATCAGTGACAATGTTTAAATATTTCAGTTCATACGAACTCAAGGCACTGTTACAGCTTTGTTCTGCAACAGATAATAAAATAATAAAGAGGGTGTATGTAAAGAGAGCATAAATTGCAAATGCAAATTGAATATACAGATTTTACAATTTAAGAATGGAGCAAGTGGGGTCCCAAAATATTCACTCCTTAAACAAAAGAAAACTTGTACATACATTTATACAACAAAAATATTTTGGGGGATTGAGGGTCGAAAGCTAGTTACAATTTCATATAAAATTTTAGAATTCGTTCGACTCTCGTGTAGAACCAAGTATTAAATTTCCTAAGAAGAAAAGTTTGTGTGTATTGTTTATGTATAAAGGAAAACAAAATAGATGCAATTCGCTAAAATGAGGGTAGAAAATGTTTAAGATCTTAAAAAACAGATGTTAAAATGGTAAAACACAGAACGATTTTGACATTGTGAGTCAAAATATTTTGACGTAAACGTTATATTGCTCGATATTCATCGAATACGCTGTCAATTCAACATTTTGATTAGTTAGAAACATTATAGAACATTTATGAAGGAGTCGCCCAAAGGAGCAATTCAAATTCAACTGGTAATAGTTTTCAGATGGTGGAATTGGAATAGAAATCTATATGGTATTAGTTTCATATAGTCTTATAACAGTAAAGGTTTACAAAATAGAAAATATTCTTTCATCTGAATAGGTTGAATATGCTTCATCGAAAACATTTGTTAAAACTGTATTATCCTCCGAATACTTATCCCCTATCCAGCGTAACAAAACTCAACTTTCTTGAAAAAATATTGAACGCACGTAATTTATATGGGGAGAATGTATTTCTATATTTTTGTATCAAACAAACGATATAATTTTAAAAATATAACATGCAGTTGAAAGTAACATTGAAATTTTTAACCACTCGAAAGCAGTTGTTAACCTCGGCTGCGTTTCGGTTGACTATTGTTTTCTTACCTAGTTGGGCTTAAAAATCATGCTAACATCAACTACATGCAGTATTTATATAATGTACGACGTTTGAAACAGAACGAGAAATCTGACATATGTAGATCATCAAAAACGTTCTCTCAGAATTTAGTTGGCTTTTTATATTTGCTAGGCTTTAAAAAATATATTTTGTACATTTTCTGAGAACCATAAGATGGGGTGCCAAGCAACAAATCGAATGGCAAGGGGAAGGTTTAAAACAAACTTAGTACATGTTTCACACGAAAATATAACCTTTATTTGTCTCCCTCTATTTTTAAAATTACGAAGTGCTCCGTGTTTCTTGCTGTTTAATCAAGATAACAATAGTTTGATGCTGATTATTGTCATATTTACAGACCTGGACTTGACAGTTATACCCTTGGGGTAATATCTGTCTGCGACAGGCCATGTGACAGTCTACAGCGAGTAGCTTTCAAACACAATTCAGGCTCATTTCTCTTGATTCCAAAATTAGGATAGTCATTTCAGTTATCATGGATTTAATTTTTTTCCCCTTTAAATTAGTTATTTTTTTAGTGGTTAAATTAATATTTTTCTTATAATTTAAAAACAGAGAACTCCACAGAAAACGAAAAAAACAGGAAAAGAAAGCCTTTCGGTTGTATACACATGTACATATATCCACGT